CAAGACATGAAAATAATTTATTCATTAGTTACTTTAATGAATTTAGTTTTAAGAGAAAGTGTTTATAAATAGTATTCTATTCATATTATTTTATGCAATAAGAACTAACTAAAAAGTAAAGAAAAAAATTTCATTTAGAAGGAAAACGTTGCGTTTTTATTAAGACGTGCTAATAAGGCAGTTACGCAGTTACGCAGGAAATTCAATTAAACTCAGCTACACTCACTCTGCTCTGCTCTCTGCTCTATAAGGAGTATATTATAATAATATAACAACATTTTTTATTTACTGCATTCACCCGCGTTTTATGACTACTAGATTCAACGGATAGGTTATCATTATTATTATTTTTATTTGTATACAATAGTGAGAGTGGGAAATTAAATCTCACCTCGGGTCGTATACCATCGACGAGTGGGTATTTATTCGGCCCTCATCGCTATATAATATTATTTTATACGGGGCTTATATTATAAATATTGACATAAAAGCGATGCCCCGCCTGCAGCATGTGCTTCGTGGTAGCAAACCCGAATTTAATTAAAAGGGACCCTCTCGTTTATTACGACATCGTACATCGACATCGTACGACCCTCGTTTACTTAATGGATCAACCATTGTACATAATTATATACGTTATACAGTCGGTTCTTTGTATATAATAGGTTTATTTTATATTATCACTATACACTGGACGATCAATGTGTACCTTAATGAAATAACTAAAGTCCACTGCACTAGTAGGGATAAACAAAAATGGCAAAACTGAAATTATATTCAATATAGTCAATAAATCAATATAATGTATATATATTGCAGAGAGAGGGAGAGAGAGAGAGAGAGAGAGAGAGAGAGAGGATTATTGTTGATTATTGTTGATTATTGTTGATTAGTTTTAACTTTTAACGTTACCTCCCGTTCGCCAACGTTAAGCCACCCCAACCACCCAGAACTCAATCAAAAAATCGAATTGACGGCCGACCGGATAAGTTCTATCCCCATGGGGTGTTTTACATAACCCAAACATAGGTACATATATATAATATATTATATGCTGAATTCACGTGAGCAGATCACTGGCGATGGCAGGAAATTGAGTTTCGCGTGTTACCTCTAAGACAGTGAGCACTGAACACGTCTATTATAATATATATATGTGCAGAAATACTTCTGTCACAGGAGGCAAAGGCCGGTCTAAACACATACTGTCGCACAAATATATTACAACTCCTAATACACGTAGGTATATATTTCATTACCTGACAGTCGTCCAAGGGCCGAGTAAAATAAATGCAATAAAAAATAAATATAAATGGAAATTTTATTTAGTCGAAAGACAGCAACGACATTTGTCGTTGAAATGCAATATATTATAATATTGTATATATTATGTGATATAAAAAGAAAAACCAGCAAAGACGTTTTTATCCGAATACCTACACGCTAAGGAAAAACACGCATTGTTGTGATTAGTGAAAGGCGTGATACGTATAAGCCAAATGTTTAGACAAAGACAGGAAATTACATTTGCTGAAGTTACAAAAAAAAACGGCTTTGTTAAAATTTGCATGTATACGTCATGAGTGTATAAGGTAGGTAAACTTACAAGTTTTTCGTGATTATGTGTAGGTACTGAGTCACTATATTTATATTTATGGGTACCTCACATTTTAAATGTTGTGCATAGCTATTAATGGGCCTAATATGTATATTAAATAATATATAACCTATATTAAATAAGGTAATAGATACATATTATTGTCGATAAATTGTGTGTTTGAATACATATTGTTTTATATTATTTAAAGTTATTAGAACACAACATTTTTAGGGAACATATTATATTATATTAAATATTTTTATCGTCAAGTCTTTTAAGGTTTACAATTTTTAAGGACAAGGTAGTAATATATTTTTAGTTTCATGTTCCACAGCTGAGCACATTTCTGATGATTTTAATTTACAAAAATAATTAATGAATTACAAGCATTTCAATTTTGGATTTGTGGAGCTAGTGGAATGTCATCTCATTAAGCTGGTACCTCACAATAAGTTGTTATGCACTTCTTCGCTTGTCTAGGGCCTAGATTTAAAATAAAAAAAAAAAAGGTAGAACTTGGTGGAATTTACATGCGCTCTATGTACGATACACATCATAATATTAAAATCTTTTGAATAAACTTATTACTGTAGGGATATTACAGAATTTAATATAAGAACTGACCCAGCCAGGCGCCATTGCCAGTCATTTGCTCAGGGTAGGTAAACGGCTACTGGGTACAAACACGAATTATAACTGCGAAGTATATTATTATATTATTTTTCACACTATATGTATTACGATTTTAGGTGAATGCGACTTGGGGCCATCGATCGAACTTCGATTCGAAGACGAATAATATATTATATTCTCGTCTACACAGCACTCACGAGTACGAGTAGATACAATACGAGTTTATTGTTCTCAGCACATTTCCAAAATACTCAAGAACGATAAATGACTTTGTCACTTATACCACAATATGCGTTACTTGAATCAACCATTTTTATTTAAAAATCGTCTTCGCAAGAATATCATTTGACTTATTAAGCCCGTTTCTGGCCGCACTCACAAACTACACTAACTCACTAGTAATTCCTAAGGCCTCGTCTTGGAAATGTCATATTATTATGAGAGTTTATTATTTGCACTAAAACTAGTACCGTGTAGTTGATTATCAAGTATTCGATCATTTCGGTATTTGACGGTATCTCTATATATTATGCTCGTTGACGCCAAGACTAGACGGATATTCGAATTACAATAACACTTTTTTGGGATTTCTAACTACCCACCACCCTAACATCTGATAATTATTACAAAGTTGGACATCCGATCCGTCGTAATCGTGAGGTAATAACGAAATGCAGTAATAACGTAATATCACGTGTAATAACACAGTATTAAATGTATTATAAAAATAATTCATTTATTACATTATTAACAATTAGAGTGTGGATCTGTATGCACTAAAAATTATCAAAACAATAAAATATGTCATATAATAATAATATTATGCTGTCAAAACCACAAATGTATGAAAGAAAAACAATGTGGAATTGGGTAATATTTATTTATTTATTTATTTATTTATTTATTTATTTATTTATTTATTTATTTACTTATGTATGAACGGGCTAAAAGCCCAATAGTACAACACAATTTGCAGTTATGAAAATTAATATTATGGTAAAAATATGCTTAAATTGATTTTATATTTATTAAAATATCATTTTCCGAGGTTATTCTCTTTAATTTTCTTTAAGAATTGTTCTGGTATGTTAAATAGGTAATCAACTTATATATCTTATATATTTTAATTACAAAACTATTACACTATTTTTGTAAGAAACAGGGTAGTATTTTCTTACAGTTTATTTATTTAAAAAATTACGCTTCAAAAGACAAACAGTAGGTACAACATCAATTTATACAACTCTTACTTGCCACCATAATATTATATTATTATAGAGAGCAGCGCCTGAAGGACATGAACAATGTTAGTGCGAGAGTGCCGGAACTTATCGATCGGTCAAAGTTGTCGCTGTAACCCCCTGACAGCACTCTCTACCACACGACAATGATAAAGAAATTGTTATTAACAAGTAACATGATACATGGCCCACTTGTTACCTCGATGTGTACCCACAGATACGTATATCGCACAAGAGCGGGGGCACTTGTTATCGCCACCGTGGTATATTGTAATCGGGTGAACACTGTCTTGTGACTGTTTCATAAAACTCGTGAGTTTTGTCGTCGTCCGTAGTGGCCACTTGTTGTCACTAATAATTAAACGCATAATATTATTATCATGGTTGTGGTTGTTGCCCGTAATATTTATGTGATGCGGATTCCGTTACCGGGTTTGGGCCACCTGTTATGTCATCGCGACGGCCAGCTGCAGTGGCCACACAGAACGTTAACCGATCTTGGTGTTAATATAGTGCTATATAATAATATATAATAATATTATGCTGCCAGGAACGAAGTCAGAAGTCCATACTAAATAACTTTGAACGTTTTATTTAAAATTAAAATGTTATAAAATATGGTAGGGCTGGCGGTATTCAAAATTTTGATACCGGTATCCGGTATTTGTTTACTACCGGTATTTACGGTATTACCGGTTATACGGTATTTTCAGTAATTACCGAACATACCGTATCACGGTAATTACCGAAAATACCGTACCACGGTAATTACCGAAAATACCGTACCACGGTAATTACCGAAAATACCGTACCATGGTAATTACCGAAAATAACGAGGTAATGCGGGGGTAAATGGGTAATGCAGGAAAGTGGAGCAAGCCCAAATGCTAGCGCTATGTATTTTCATCGTATTTCCCCCTAGCACAGGCCTACTTAAACCCTTAAACTGCCCGGTGAAATACCGCAACCTAGTCTTGCGAAGCCAGTATAGGCGTGTCCTATCCATTCTTATAATCTTAGTATAATGTTAGATAACAGATAACGAAAATTACAATATTATATTATGTCATTATGAATATATATGCTAGTATTTTAGGTAAATACCGGGGTACGGTATTTTCGGTAATTACCGGGGTACGGTATTTTCGGTAATTACCGGGGTAGGGTATTTTCGGTAATGACGGTAATTACCGAATCACGGTATACCGGTATTCTGAAATACCGAAAATACCGGATACCGGTATTTCTTAAATACCGGTATTTATCGGTATACCGAAAATACCGCCAGCCCTAAAATATGG